TGTGTGTGTGTGTGTGTGTGTGTGTGTGTGTGTGTGTGTGTGTGTGTGTCTTCTGGTGTGCAGAATGCCCTTGCTAGTGGGACAAGTGTGAGCGCATGTGCGAGTGCGGCTGTGGCATTGTGTGTGCATTCGTGTCCGTGTTGTTTACCAGCTGGTTGGGTGGCGTAGCGGTGTGTAGACTACTTTCTTCCCTATATAGCAATGACAGGCCATGTTGTTTCACCTGTTGTGGCGGGCGGTCAGTGGTGTAGCTCTCTCCTCACACCTCTCTCTAAAACCAGAACACAAGTGCTGCCTTTTGGGATCACATGGGTTAGTCCATATGTGTTCAGGCCCTCAACCCACAGATTAGAGCAGCAAGCACGCCTGAGAGGAACCACAGGAACTAGACTACTGAACAACTAAACTCCACATAGTCTTGTCTTCAAGAATGTGTACAAGGTGTAGTGTTACAGTACACAATGGCTCACTGCAGAGTCCTGAATACATCTTTAAAAGATAAAGTTACTGCAGCGGTTATTAAATTATAGTTTGGACACCGTGGTCAGTGTAAGTGCTTCCATATGCTGCTATAATGAAATACAATCCTTTAACTAGACATTTCATACACAGACTACACTATATGTTTAATCTGAGAAAAAACTAAATTTTGTCATCATTAGTTATTGAAATGCAGATATAATGCACATAAATGTGTATATTTTTTTAAATGACACACTGACGAGACCAGAGATGGAAAAAGATTTGAGCATTTCACAAATTTATTTATTTTCTGACACGTAAATCACATGTTGTCCAATGTACTCTGCATGCATTTTCATCCGGCTTGGATATGAAAATATGAAAACAGGGGAAACAGAACTAGTGTTTGCGAGCTATTTGTGAGTTTGTTTGTGCCAGCATTGCAAGGAGTGATTATATGTGTGTATGAATGCTGATTCTATTCTGAAACTTAAAGCTGCAAATCTACTTTCAGATGGTGGACATGTGTAGGGCCAGATTTAGCTACACACCTGCTATTGGAATAAAAGTAACACAGGCCACAGGACTATTTTTGGCCCCTCTTTAACAAGTTCCTCTTATAGTTGTGTCCTAGTGTGTGTGAGGGGGAGAGGGTGAGGACGGTGAAATAGACTGATACAGGGGGAGATGGAGGGGAGGGGGCTCGGGGGGTCAGATGGTACCACTTGTGAGACAGCTGAAGTGAACACACACACTGACAGCGCTCAGCCAAACGGGCAGAAAATTGCACCACTGAAGTCACGATGTGCATCATATGCTGCAGGCGTGGTGTCGAATTAGAGTATATTGTGTGCCTTACTTATATTATAATCTTAACCACACACTTCTCTAACAGTAGGAAATAAGTGCTTCTGCCCACATCACGCCCACAGATCTGTCAGATGCCCCCCCCCCCCAGGCCTCTCCAAAACTACTGACCCAATTCACGTTGTCTCTTCCTTCTGTCTGTTCATCTGCAGTGCTGAATGGGAGCAGCCACTCTCCTACATCGCTGAACGGTGCTCCGTCCACTCCCAACGGCTTCAGTAATGGGCCGGCAATGTCGTCGACGGCCTCGCTTTCCAACCAGCAGCTCCCGCCAGCTTGTGGTGCCCGGCAACTCTGCAAACTGAAGCGCTTCCTGACCACGCTGCAGCAGTTTGGCAACGACATATCGCCTGAGATTGGGGAGAGAGTGCGCAGCCTTGTGCTGGGGCTGGTGGTAAGTTGTGATTATATTGAATTATTGTAATGGGTCTTTACAACAACACTACTCTACATCCATTCATTCATCCCGACGTTCTTCAACTTTGTATCTATGTATTATACCTGATGATAGTTAATTCATGTGATGCAGAGCATTTTACATATTGGAAATGTGTCTTGTACAACAGAAAGTCACTCGAAGTCACGAAAGTAAAAGTTTTTTATATTGCGCACAACAAAATGTGCCCGCAACGTGATCTTGTTCTTATGCGATACAAGGTACAAACAAGATAATAAAAAGATTTTAAAAACCTCATCTTTCAGGACTTCATAAGAGAGTGTTATGAAAAGTGTTTCTTTAAGCGACTCTTTGTCTAACTCCCTGTTGTCTTGGCAGAACTCCACTCTCACCATCGAAGAGTTTCACTCCAAACTTCACGAGGCCACCAACTTCCCTCTGAGGCCGTTTGTCATTCCCTTCCTGAAGGTAAATACTTGTGCACAGATTTTATGGAAAATCAAGCCCAATGTCTTCAATAGACACGCTCAAAGCTCACCGCTGCTGTCTATATGGCCGGTGTTCAGGACTGTGTGTGTGTGTGTGTGCAGACACTGCATGTATACCTTTCCTATGTGCTCCTTCCCTATCTACCTCCAAGCAGAAAGGGTTCACTGAGAGGCGCAGAGGGAAACCTTGTTTTGATTGAAAACGTATAGGTGTAGACTGTGATACTGTGTTAACTGTGCTTGGAGTACTATGTAGAAAATAGTTGGATGTGCTTGTGAATGGCCGTTAAAAGGGTTGTGTGTGAGTGTGTCAGACCTACTGGCGAGCAATGATCCTCCACATCTGGGACATTGCAGCAATGGCTGTGTTATGTCAACTGGACAGGTCTGAGAGAGCTAATTGACAGCACTGACACTCACACACACACACACTCACACAATATACACATCAGCTCACCCTGGAGAGAGAGAAATAGAGAGACACTTGGCAGAGGAAGGTGTCAAGGGCCTTGTCTTATCTCATCCTGTCTCTTCATCTATTACTTTCTTTTTATTCTCACCCTAATCTGCCATTATTTCACTCTCACCCCATCCATCTTTTATTCCACCATGAGTCTCAAGATCACTTCTTGTCCACTTAACACCCTTTACATTTACATCAGCTCAATAAATCTATTACCTTCCTGCAACCGTTTATTGTATTCCTAATCTGGAGATGTCTGTCTTCCCTCTCTTTACCACTGAAGGCAAACCTCCCCCTGCTGCAGAGAGAGTTGCTCCACTGTGCCAGGTTGGCCAAGCAGACTCCAGCCCAGTATCTGGCCCAACACGAGCAGCTTCTCCTGGACGCCAATGCTAGTTCGCCCCTCGACTCCTCTGAGATCATGCTGGAGATGAATGACCACGGCAAGAGAAGGACCCCTGACAGGTAGCACAACTCCACAATAACACAAGAAAACACATACATAAACACATATACATAGGCGGACTCTTTCTCTCTCACACACTCACACACACAGACACACACAAAGACACTGTTATATATGAATTATTTCAGGGTATTTCAGAATGCCAAGTGACAAGAGGAGGCCATAAATCCTCTGTACAGGAGGCGGAAGTCTGGTCAGCCCCGATGCCAGGCTGGATCTGCCAGCTGTCTGAGAGGGAGGGGGGAGATAAATGCACTGTAGGAGAAGAAAGAGAGTGTCTGAGAAGCAAAAGAGAGAGAGAGAGACGCAGAAGAGAAGACGGAGTGAAGTACAGTAAATGTCCTCAGTACAACAAAGACAGACAGAAAGACCAACAGTGAGCTATGGCTTGCAATTGTCCCACATTTCTCCCCAGTGCTTTGCTTTATTCACCGAGTTAAGAAGATAACACAAGACATTATTAGCTGGCATTTCCCTTTTTTTCCCTACTTCTCTTACTGGCACTGTCTTTCTTTTCTGATAAGTTCTGTCTCTGTCTCTGTCTCTGTCTCTGTCTCTGTCTCCCTCTTTGCTGCTGCCTGACCTGCGGGCTCCCAGCAGCTGTCCATATGTCAGGGATGTGTCCAGATGGTGATGTGCTGACCGTAACACTGAGCACATCCTGAGTGGGGTGTGGGGAGGTGGGCGGTGGTGGTTTAGATGGGACTAGGGGTTGGAGCTGTGCAATCCCACTGTAATCCGCACACCTCCGCCTCCTGACCTGTGGCTTATGCACAGCAGGAGAGGCTCGGTGGAGGAGGGGGAGGGTGGTCCAGGCTGGGGCAGGTCCTACATCACACCAGCTTTTCCTCTGAGTTGTCAGATACGAGAGTCAGGGATGTGTACGAGTATAGCAGACATACACAAATATACACGTGGACAACGGAGCACACACACACACACACACACACACACACACACACACACACACACAC